TCGTCCCCGGCAAGAAGCGCGATGAAGAGATACAAAATGGATCCTGGAGTGGTGCCGCCGCTGGCTGGAAGCGCGATACTAATGCACAAAATGATATCGTTCCCGGCAAGAAGCGCGATGAAGAAATACAAAATGGATCCTGGAGTGGTGCCGCCGCTGGCTGGAAGCGCGATGCTAATGCACAAAATGATATTGTCCCCGGCAAGAAGCGTGATGAAGAAATACAAAACGGATCCTGGAGTGGTGCCGCCGCTGGCTGGAAGCGTAGTGCTAACACTCAATATTGATTATTGAGTGGCAGTGGCTCCTAGCGGAGATACGAACACAAAACATCAGCGCTCGAGTCTTTTGATGATGGATTTAGGGAATAAAATTCAACACCTTATTTTTCATAAACGATGCTATTACTTTCTAGAAATTTCATCAAAAAATAACAATGATTATGGTCTAAAAAGCGAGAATCAATATCTGTTCTCGAGTTTATAGACGTAATTTAAAGAAGTTAGGCCTAGCATTGTTATATTACATTCTTTGTACAATTTTCATAAACGCATAAACTGCATCATTTGCAGCATTTACATAAACCGACACATTTTTTGTAATAGTTTTATTCGCATATTTTTTTATTAACAAATCAAGAAAAATATGTATAAAAGCAAATTTAACTTTTTGGCGCATTGAAAAACAATAAAACCAATTTAACAATAAATAAATTTATAAATATCTGACGCTCTTAGTCAATATGACGCACCATGGACCACATAAATAGAGGTAGAGTATTTTAAAAGTATAAAGAGGTATCCTATACGTACAAGTGTAGCTTAGGACAATTGGAAAACTTGACTTAGAAAAACTAATCTGTTCGAAGAGAATAGCTAATGGCCATTATGTGCTAATGGCAAAATTTTTAAAGAAGAAGCATAAGTTTAGAGAAGCCCAAGTTAAAACCAGGCCTCAATTTAAAGCCTCAGAAACCTAACCTTATATACATATTGTTGGGGGTAGGTGTCTGACAACTTCCGTGTGAATATCGTCGGGGTGCGTGGGATCAATTAATAACAGGTAAGTTTTTACTTTTTTTTATTGATGATTTCCTAAAGATTGTTTTTTTGTCATAGCGCGAAGCATTATATCTATAATTCTTTGCCTAAGTACAAAAAATAATAATAAATTTAGATTCACTAAGCAAATAGGGTTTTATTATTAACTGCCTTTGAGCAGAAATTGTTTAATGCAAATTTCAAATGCGTCAAAATATTAAAATTGCTAACATATAAATATATTGTAACATGAGTAAAGGTAACGCGACCCACACTGAGCGAACACACATTGCGATAGAGAATGGCGCAAACAAAAGTAAAGAAATGCCAAGAAACTTAACTAATCCACGATACAATTGCGATAATAGTCACGTGACCAATATTCGCAAGAATTGATTGTCAATTTTGAAATGTAAAGATTACTTCGTCATTAGATTTTAGCAGCTTTAATTTAATTAGTTTCAACCATTATCATTATGTAATTAGTGTGAAGAATGTATAAAAAGAAAATAGAATTAATAAGAAAAGGAGCTTTTCGGCCAACATCAAATCCGCCTCACCTTTATTACAGTATACAGTATACATACAGTATATATTTTTGATTTATTGATAATGAAAAAAATGCAATGTAAAATATCACAAAATGTGACAGTTTTATTTAAAATGCCGTAAATGCTTTCAGTTTATACAATGCAGTGGTTTATGAAATATATTGTATATAAAAAATATGGTGTTTTGTTTAACTTCTTTAGACGACGTCTATAAACGCGAGAACATGTATGAATTCTCATCTTTTGTCCTGATCGTAATTTGTATATGAAATTTTAGATAATAAAATATCGCTTATTGACAACAAGGTGTTGGTTTCTCCTGAATCCATCACTGTAGGACGCAGGTACTGATGTTCTTTGTGTTCGCATCTCCGCTAGGAGCATAATTCCAACACAGTGGACTTTCTCTGTCACTCAATAATCAATATTGAGCATTAGCATCACGCTTCTTGCTAGGCATGATGCCACTATTGCCTCAAGTTTGAGCATTAGCATCACGCTTCTTGCTAGGAAAGATACCACTATTGCCTCCAGTTTGAGCATTAGCGTCACGCTTCTTGCTAGGAAAGATACCACTATTG